GGTGGTGCGGTACCGCACCACCGGCGCCCCCTAGCGGAGCTGAGCGACACCGCCCCCGCCGGCGCGCAAAGCCACCGCCCACCCTATCTTCGCTCGTCACCCTGCGCGGGAGGGCGTGGTCTTTGGGGAGGCGTGGCAAAGGGGGGCGTGGCGCGCGTACCCGGAAGCGGCGCCGGGGGCGGGGCCGAGCAGGTCCCGGTGCGGCGGCTCCCGCGGTGAGTGAGGCCGGTGGGAGCGGGGAGGGGGACGCGGGGATTTTGGGGATGTAGAGGGGGTAGTTGGGACGGGCGAGGGGGGACCCGGTACTGCCCGCTCCCTAGCCGGTGGGGAGCTGCTTGCTCTCCTCGGGGGGCTCTGGGACCTAGGGGTACCGCTCCGGTACAGCCCCCCCGTTCCAGCCTTCCCGCTCCCGGGGGAAATTAACCCCCGTGGGGCTTCCCCGTGGAGACCCACCGTTGAGGGCGAAGCTCTGGTACCCGTTGCCAGAGCCCCCCGCCGCTGGGAAGCCGGGAGGGTCGTAGCCCACCCCCACGCCGGGCGGTGGGATTCCCTTCCCGGCTGCGTTTCTTCCCGTGGAAAGCCACGGCGAGGCTTGCCTTCTTTCGACCTCCTCCGTGACACGGTCCCCGCTCCGTAGGGGAGGCAAATGGGGTTGTAAAAGGTCGGGGTGCCGCGGCAAAGCCGGGCAACGAGCCCTTTGGGACCGGTTTGGCTGGCTGCCTGACCTGGCCGGGGTGGAGAAGGCTCCGTAGGCAACGCCGGGCTTGGGGCAGAAGGGAAAGTCTTGAATGTCGGCCCTCAAATCTTATCTCACTGAAAACTTGTTCTCGTCCATCCTGGAGCTGGTCGGTTAAAGGACCTAGACCCAACTCTACCCCCATGGCAGGGCCCCCATCCCTGGAAACTTTGCTCCCTCCCTTTTCTTCTTGGTTTTAGGGACAAATATTTGGAGCGCGGCCTCAGCTCCTGCAGCGCGCGAGGGGATCGCTAACACCATCTCACCGAATCTAGGGGCTGTGGTTACAAACAGCGATTCCTCGCAATAACGCGAGGGGAAATGGCGTGGGGTGGTTTAGCTTTCTAAGTCTGTTTCGCTGATGTAAAATGTCCTCCCGTTTGCAGGTCACGAAGGAAGACGTGGAGGGGAGCGGAACCCGGGATGCGCTCCCTCCGGCTCCGACCTCTATAGGGACGGTGCTGGGGACCGATGGAAGCGCAGCGCCTGCTGCCTGCTGGCCTCTCGGAAGCAGAACTCGGGCAGGTCATCGTCTGCCTGCAAGGAACTGCTGTTTTGCCTTCCCCACGGCTACTGTAGAGCATCTCCTCCACCTCGCTGCGCCCAGCATTGGCTTTCCGACCCGGACCGGAACCGCAAACAGTCTTCTCCGTGAAAGTAAAGGCAGCGTGTAAAAATAGGTTCCCCAGGGATCCCCGGGTTTGAGACGGAGGAAGCTGCCAACTGCCTTCTGCTGGTGGGGAAGCTGAAAACACGGAGCATGATGGAGTCACGGATAAAACGTGAGTACGGGAGCGTGGTGGGAGCGGGCAAGGGGCTTTGGTGCACCGGCCCTGCCGTGGGAGTCTCCTTCCCTCCAGCCACAGCCCCCCTTCGCCTCGGGCTGCTCGTTCTGCCCGGCTCCAGCGCAGCTTTTCTGCGCCGCTTCCGTGGGGACGGAGCCGGGTGGGAAGTCTCTCTCTCTCGCTAATAAGGCTAAATTGCCTCGTCGGTGCCCTGGGGGGAGCTCAGCTCTGCCTCCGCCGTCTGCGGTGGAGCAGACAGCGAAGCTGCCGGACCCGGGCTGCTGTAGATCTCTGCAGCATCTGGAGAGACCTACTGGTCGGGGATGGGAGGAGGGAGCGGTTCTCTGTGCACAGTAATTCCCTGCCCTAGAAATTAATCTCGGGCCTTGTCTCTGCTGCAAATTGCATAAGCTTAAATAGTCTCTAAATGTTTAAACTGGTGTTAAACCCTTGTGCATTTCCTATATTAATCCCAGCCAGCTTTGAAATTAATCTCCCCCCCCCTTTTTTTTCTCTTTTCTTAAGGGCAATAAAGAATTTTCTGGTTTAATTAAGCCACGGGGAAGGGGTAGCTTGGGGTGGGAGCAGGGATTACCTTCAGCAGCAGCACCAGGTCACGTTGGCTTTAACGTGACAGCGTGGCAAACATCTCCACAACCCCCTTGGAAAATGAAAACCCCTAAAGTGGGGCATCTTTCGGCCATGGGGCGGGACTGTGTGGCCGTTCAGGCAGACGATGCGAGGACAGGCAGCTCCTCCTGGCCTGGAAGTGCTGGCCGCAGCAGGAGGGGAGGGGACGAGAGATGCTGTCACCTTCCTCGTTCCAGCCTCGGGGACAGCTGCCGATGCTTTTGAGGCAGCGTGGCGTCCCCTCAGGACTGGGCATCCCGGTGGGTCTTCGCATCCCCGCGTGAAGGCACGTCCTCGGACGAGGGGCTGTGGCATCGCGGAGGCCGTGTGCGGTCGCTGGCCCCGTGGTGCTCTACGGGCTCTTTGCAGAGAGCTTGCAGGTGACCTGCTCTGTAACTAATTAACCTTATTACGACAAAGGCCCTAATGAGAAATTCACCGCTCCACAATAACAATTAGGCTCTTGGAGCAGAGTCGCTGGCTGGTGGGTGTGAGGGAGCAGCTCTGGTCCACAGCAGCAACACAGGCGCCTGGCTCGCCGCTGGCAGGACCTCGGTGGGCTCCGTCCCGCTGTCGGATTGACCGTTGGGGCGGCCTTTTTAATAGGGACCCCGTAACCTCAGGCAGTGACGGGTGTTTTGCTTGGGGATGGTGCCCCGGGGCCAGGACAAGGGCCACCATCACCTGCGCTCCTGGGGCTGTTCTCACGTGGCAGCTGGTTAGCATGGCTGGGGAAATCTTTGCCAGATATTAGCTCTTAACTGATGGCGTCCGTTCACCTTCGTAGAGCCTCATCTGGTGGTGAGATTCAGCGGCATGACCACGGGGGCCAGAGGGCTCCTCCAGCCCCTGACCCTCAAGGATGTGCCCGTGGTAGGTCCCACGTCGTGTCAGCCCTGTGCAGGTTCCCCAGGCACCTCAGGCGGTGCCAGCACCCAGCTGCAGAGCGGAGCCCGTGCCCCGGTGCTGCTTCCCAGCCCTGGTCTCAAATCTCCAGTGTAATAAATCCCTCCTTCTCCTTGCTCCAGCAAGAAACCTTAGAGCCAAGTTCACCTTGACTCAGAGGCTGACGCAGTGCTGAGTGGTATTTGCAGGGTCTGCAGTAAAAAACCTGTGAAGCGTTCAGCCCTGCTTGGGGGATGAGGATGAATGAGCCCTTGGGGAATAGGGAAGGGCCATGTGCGGGGTGTCTTCATCTTCAAGGTGAGTTGTCTTGGGTGGTGAGCCCAGAAGAAAGGGTTTTGGTAGGTGCTTGTTGAGTGGGAAACAAAAGAGCCAGCAAAGCTTAATTTAGTTGTGCACAAGGCTCATGGAAGGATGGATGAAAATGCACAGAGGCTCTTCTGTTGCTGCTCTTGTTAGTCCAGGAGATGTTCAGGGAATACAAAAATCTTTGCAACTTGCCTGTCTTGCTCAGGGCTTGCTACGACGTTGATGGATGCCACAACAGATAAGGACCCGCTAGTCCAGGAGCAGATCTACAATGCTTTGTGCTACCTGGGGGAGTCCGAGCCGGAGGAGATCCTCAACTCCTGTGATGAGTACCTCCGGCAGCATGACAAGGTAGGGGTCTGCTCTGCTTGGTCCTGGGAATGTCAGCAGCATAAGAAATATTTCTGGGCAGCTCAGGGATATTGGCTCTATCAGCAAGTGAGGGAGATATCTGGGAGGATCTGGGTGACAAGAGTGGTGGACCAGCTGGCTAAGAAGTCTGGTCCAAGGCGCTGGAGTTGTGCAGGTGAAGAAACCGTGATAATACGCTGTCGTGAATGAGAAACGGAGTAAAGCTGGTTGGTGGTCCAAGTCATTGCCTTTTCCCGTGCAGGCGGTGTGGTGGAAATGCTAGCTGGTCCCTGGCCGGGCAGCTCTGGGACATGCAGGTTTCGCCTGCCCTGGGGCAGCTGCGGTGCCTTGCTCAGCTTGGCTGACCGGCCGCTTTCTCCTTCCCTTTTCAGCTGGCTTACCCTCACCGGGTGATCATCCTGAAGGCAATGGAAACTGTGGTGAAGAACAACATTGCCCTCTTG